GTTACAGAGGAAGACATACAAACTGTTTTTCTCATTGACCTCTTCTGTTCAGCTCCCCAAGTTGTTGTAGCTCTTTTCTTTGCTAAACCTGCTGCCTTCTTTTCTTTATTCCCCTTGGGTAAATCCCCTACATTTATGTTTGTCACATACCTGTATGTGGAGCTGACAAGGGTGGCCTCTTGCACAATTCAGGTCTGGGCACCCCTGGAAGTTGAGACAGGGTCTGCAGGTGGAAGGGCACAAGTGCCAGGGTGTAGACATTGAAGACTGGATTTTGGGGGCATTGGTATCAGATGAGAGAGTCGAGTCACAAGTCAAGCTCAGTAACAGTTTAGCAAGAGGGCATCGAATTGTAGGCAGGATCAAAGTCAGGAGTAAACAGAGGTTGTTAATGTGCAGGCAGAAAGGTACAATTTCTATGAGCAGAATCTTGGTTAGAAGTCCAGGCCGAGGTCAGTAATGGAGGTAGGACAGCAAACATAAGCAGACAATGGTAATCCAAGAGCAGGTCAGAAGGAAACTGGGTCAATAACAGGGTTAGTGTAAGTATGAGAAACACAGCAGCAAGACCAAAAACTATTCAACAATGATCTTGTGTAGAGGCCAAGTATAAATAGCCCATTTGGTGGTATCCTTAGATACTTTATATCCCATACCATTGCTCTTTTGAAGGGATTTAGGGGATAATCCGGTAACCCCTTTTTTCCAGGGCTAACAATAATATATGTCGGTTTTTTTCTTCATGTTGTGGTCTATCCTTCACACTTGGAATGCTACTCATACAGTTTACTGCAGTCTGTCTTCATCACCTCAAATTAAATTCTTCTCATTTGTGCCTTGGGATTCATCATCCTGAGGATCTGTCCTCCTTGATAAAGCAATATCTTCACTGCATTTCTTGAGCCTCCCTGTCAATAATTCACATACCTTGTTGTTCCACAAGCCTTTTTCTCTGTGGGATATCGTACACCAGTAGCCTTACTGGTACTTGTTTCATGGTGCTACATTTGCAGATTCCTAATTCTGATGTCTCTGTGGTGGACTCTGCTCATGGCTGTCCAAATATAGTGGGTAAAATAAGTATTGAACAAGTCACCATTTTTCTCTGTAAATATATTTCTAAAGGTGCTATTGACATGAAATTTTCACACATGTCGGTAACAAACCATGCTATCGATACATACAAAGAAACCAAAACAAATAAGTTATGTGTAATAAAATGGAATGACACAAGGTAAAAGTATTGAACACATGAAGAATGGGAGGTGCAAAAAGACATGGAAAACCAAGACACCAGCTGAAATCTATAAGTAATTAGAAAGCAAAACTGCCCCTTGTCAGTGCAGATTAATATCAACTGGTTCATTCTCAAATGATGGCCTATAAAAAGTCTCATTACCAAGGTGTCACACAAAAATCAAAGAGCTCTCTCAAGACCTCCGCAACCTTATTGTTGCAAAACATACTGATGGCATTTGTTTCAAAAGGATATCTAAACTTCTGAATGTTCCAGTGAGCACTGTTGGGGCCATAAACTGGAAGTGAAAAGAACATCATTTAACCATAAACCGGCGACAGTTATCAGAAGAGTTGATGGTTATCAGAAGATTTGTTCAAGAGCCAAGAACCACTTGTGGAGAGCTTCAGAAAGACCTGGAATTAACAGGTACAATTGTTTCAAAGTAAACAATAAGTAATGCACTCAACCACCATGGCATTTATGCACAATCAGCACGCAAGACTCCAATGCTGAAGAAAAGCATGTTGAAGCTCGTTTAAAGTTTGCTGCACAACATTTAGACAAGTCTGCAAAATACTTGAAGAATATAGTCTGGTCAGATGAGACCAAAATTGAACTCTTTGGATGCCATAATACACACCATGTTTGGAGGTCAAATGGAACCACACATCAACCCAAAAACACCGTACCAACAGTGAAGTTTGGAGGTGGGAAAATCATGGTTTGGGCTGTTTTTTTCAGCATACGGTACTGGCAAATCTCATTTCGTTGAAGTAAGGATGAATGGAAAAATGTACCACAACATTCTTGATAAAAATCTGCTGCCATCTACCAGAATGATGAAGATGAAACGAGGGCAGGGGTGGACTGACCATTTGGAAACTCAGGCACTGCCTGAGGGCCCAGGGTCAGTAGGGGGCCCCATGAGATGCCCCTGGAACCTTTTCCATAGGCTTTTTTGAGTTTGGGCAAGGACACAGGGGCCCTATGATCCCCTATTGCCCAGGGGCCCCATGAGTTGTCAGTCCCGCCCCTGAACAAGGGTGGGTATTTCAACAAGACAATGATCCCAAACACGAAGCCAAGGAAACTCTCAATTAGTTTCAAAGAAAGAAAATAAAGCTGCTAGAATGGCCAGCCAATCACCTGACTTGGAAAGAACTAAAGATCAGAGTTCATAGAAGAGGCCCACAGAACCATCAAGATTTTAAGACTGTGTGGAAGAATGGACAAAAATCACACCTGAGCAATGCATGCGACTAGTTTCTCCATACAGGAGGCGTCTTGAAGCTGTCATTACCAAAAAAGAATGTTGTACGAAGTATTAAATACATTTCAGTTAGGGTGTTCAATACTTTTTTCCCTGTGTCATTCCATTTTATGACACATAACTTAATTTCTGAAGTTATTTGTTTTGGTTTCTTCATATGTATGGATTTCATGGGTTGTTACCAACATGTGGTGAAAATTTCATGTCAATAGCACCTTTAGAAATATATTTGCGGAGAACAAAAGGTGACGTGTTCAATATTTATTTTACCTGCTGTATTTGGACAGCCATGAGCAGAGTCCACCACAGAGACATCAGTTAGGAATCTGTAAATGTAGCACCAGGAAACAAGTACCAGTAAGGCTACTGGTGTACGATATCCCACAGAGAAAAAGGATCATGGAACAACAAGGTATGTGATTTATTGACAGGGAGGTTCAGGAAATGCAGTGAGGATATCGCTTTATCAAGGAGGACACATCCTCAGGATAACGAATCCCAAGGAACAAATAAGAAGAATTTAAAATATATTTACCTAGAAAAATGGTGAAGTGTCCAATGTTTCTTTTACCCACTGTATATATGCATTCCCAGAAACTTTTTTTTACTTGTAAAATCAAAATGAAATATATATGCACACCCTGGAATATTCTCCAAGCTAGCCTAATCTTTCTCAAGATATGAGCCAAATTATTAGTAAAAATAACTTTTTTATTGGTGCTTATTCCATGGAATCCCTCCTTGATTATAAAGTGCTCTAGATTCTCAAATATATAATATAAAAACTTGATCAGTTGAAAAACTGCCTAATCACTTCACATGAAATAGGCAGAGCAAAACATTTTGTTTTTATGTCAGATAGAGAATTAAGAATCTGCTTCACAGTAGAAATAATGTTTCATCTTTCATACCACATGGGCGGACTTGTATACATCCCATCCACAGTTTGTGTTTGTTAGAGGTATATTCTCAGTCTTATTCTGTTTTGACAGTTAAGTAAACAATACATTGTCTGGTGTCTATAGCAAACTATCCATCGCAGCTTTTACTGCTGTGCATGGCCTCTCTCAACTAAATCACTTCAGCAATCCCAGTTGGGTGCTCTCAGTTCAGTATTACTAGCTTCTCCAAATGCACCAGTGCCACCTGGCCTGCACTGTTACTCCACGCAACCACAGTGAGGACAGTATTAAATCAATAAAATCCAATTAAAATGTTCCACTTAAAACATTCACAGACCAGACCCACAGAATGTAATGAAAGTATTTCCTATTAACTCCAAAGATATGCTGGTAGGGAATTGGCTCCTGTCTAAATTGGCCCTAGTATGTGTATGTATGAATGTAAGTTAGGACATTAGATTGTACACCCCTTGGGGTATAGGGACTGGTGTGACTGTACAATGAGCCCAATATATATATATATATATATATATATATATATGTGTCAGAAGCTATTGTGGGAACTCGCTTCTAAATGGTAGAGCTTCTTCAAAGCACACAGCAACTCTCTTCTTTTGAAGGGCCTTTTTGCCCAATTTTATTTAAAGGAAAAAGTTCAATAACCCAAAATGCTTCCCACACAGGGGTATCCACCATCAAACACAAGTTGCCAAAAGACATTCAAGCTGTCAAGGGATGCATCAGTGTCAGCGCGAACTATCCGTCGACATTTAAATGAAAAGAAAACGCTACATGCATGAGACCCAGGAGGACCCCACGCTAGACACAGAGACTATAAAAAAAACAGACTACAGTTAGCCAAAATTGTACAATTCAGCCTTCTGGCTCTTTCAGCTACACAGCTTTATATCTGTCTCCTACAGACTCCTTCCACAAGGTTGTTTTTTGCACACAGCAAACCTTTAGCACACAGCTATTCTGGCTCCCACCTCTACTACGTGAAGCCCACCTGACTCCACAGCAGAGACCTCCTGTCTGCCAGGGTGGAGCCCTCTTGACTCCGTCTGCCGGGGTGGAGCCCTCCTGACTCCTGTGTGCAGGGGTGGAGCCCTCCTGACTCCTGTGTGCAGGGGTGGAGCCCTCCTGACTCCTGTGTGCAGGGGTGGAGCCCAGAATCATGGCCTGGCCTCCACAAAAAGGCCTGCACACACCTGTGCAATCACCACGCTGGCTGCTCTCAAAACATGGGCCCGGGATTGGAGATTTCATGCCTCCCAAATCTCTTAGAAATCTCCAGGCTACAGGTCCCAAACAGGCTTTACAAACCAAAGAGGAAACTTATAAACCCGTTTCCTCTGCATTATGAGAACTGCCTGGAGCCCCTCAACCTGTATGGTTGAGAATCCTGGGTCTCCATCATGATTTCCACTGTGGCAGGATACCGTACTGCCACAATATATAAATATATATGTATATATAAAAAAAGTGCTACGTAAATTGACGACGCTATATAAGTACCTGTAATAAATGCCAAAACATTGTTCATATGTAGAATCTGAATAATACCTCACATGATTCATGTTCACAGATTGGTATTACCATGTGCCTTTAAAACATGAGAAGAAAAATGAAGTTCCACATCTTCCCGCTTCCCAAATACCTGGTTTGAGTGACCTTGCAGAACCTCATAATGATTTAATGACTGGAAGTCGCAAAAAATGGATCAGAGAGACAGACTCTGAATATGTCAAACTAGCCAAGCAAGGAGGTCGACCAGGTAAAGACCATATTTGGGCTTATAGAGCAATATCTGAACATGAGAAAACATCTAATCACATAGTTTAGTTTTTATATAGTCATGTACAATGCATGTGTTAAGGAATATCACATCAGTCAAGGTCACTGCACCCTGGGGTGCTGTTTTGGTTCCCCCAGGGTGCAACAAACATGGGACACAGATTGCCTTGAATCCGTATCATGCAGTGCCACAATGCAAGCAGGCAAGCCACCAGCATTATAACAATCAATGAAGCTCTAGGCATAGGGCCTGGAGGCACGGCATCTCACCCAAACCATGGCAGGACATGACACTGATCCAGGGCAGATGGCAATCAGGAGGGGATGGAAGTGCACCTCAGACCAGACCTGTTCTGCCTCCCAACCTCTGCCATGTTGTTGGAGCCCTACGGTAGGGCTCTCATGGGAACAGGGGACTCTAATGTGATGAGGGGACTCTGAATGTGATGGGGACTTTCAAGTATAGGGGGCCTCTGATGTATAGAGGATACCCTGATGGGAATGGCTGGGCTTCTGATGTGATAAGAAGATTCTTTGATGAGGGGACCTCTGATGTCATAGGGGGATGCTAATAAAATGGAAGAAAAGGTTGGAAAAATGCTGACATATGAGATATGACATATGACATATGATATGAGTAAGGTTATCAAGATCAGAAAGTCTGCCAGTCAGTGGGAAAAGCCTTGTTTTCTGCTGTGAGTGAAAGCAAAATGTTCAAAAGATATGTGATAATAATGACAGTGTATTTATGAATTGCGTGTATGAGGGAGAAGGATCTTTTCCAAGTCTAGGCTGTGTACAGAGGGGTCTATATTTCACCATTAATGAGATATTATGCAGCTTTTTGATAGACGATGAGGATAAGTGAGAGCAAGGTTCTTATGATGTTTAAAATGCTTGGAGAACAGGAGACAGGCTGTAACTCTGTATTTGTTCACATATAGGTAATTCGACTGTATCAGATTGAATCATCAGGTGGCATAGCAGTTTAACCCTGTAATAGCTGTCCTAAGAAAAAAAAAACTACTTTCATGGTCATGTAATACTGAGCCACTGATAGTGAAATAAATTGAAGTTACTAATACCTTCTCACAGCTTGTAACTATTCATTGTCAACATGACAGGTATTACAGTAGTAGAGTTAAAAAGTGTCACTAACATACACAAAATGAAAAAAAAATGAAAATAAATGACCAATGACTGCTGTACTCACCTGATATACACAAATTATTTAAACAAAATGTGTTGCACTGTCATATCCTGACTCACATTTGTGCATGATTCTTAGCTGTGTGTAATAAATCATATCATAAATAACATAAAATTCATAAATCCATATAAATAAATAAACTCATCTGATGAAGTCCAAATAAACAAAACTAAATGAGTAAAGTGCTATAGCAAAAGTCTAAATAAAGTGCAAATAACACCAATTAATTGCCACTCATCATGCCATTAGACCTCTAATTGAAGGAGGTCTGGCTGTAATTTAGGGAAAAATCGCTGGATGGATGATCACCTCCTATCCCACTCAGGACTTGGTGTGGGAAAGGGTGGATGAGTGGAAGAATGAGCTCCAGCCAAATGAATGGATGAATGCATAGTGTGCCTCACTAGCTCCACCACTGCCTGTGATCTACACCGCCACCAGCATCTATACAATCCACAGCCTATTTTACTGTCATCTGGTCATATCAGAATAGTACATGGAAAAGGAAGGAGATCTCTCATGGGGCAGTAAAAGAAACAGGATTTATTTAACCACTTGCCGTCCGCCTGCCGGTGTTTCCTCTGGACACAGTAAACGGCAGGACAGTGATTGGCACTCCAGGGGCGGGTTGCCGTTCATAAACAGCAACAAGGCTATTCACAACAGCTCACCAATCACCAATGTGACCAATCACAGCTCACTCAGGATTTCTTAATGGCTGCAAGAATGCAGACAGAGAGAAGGAGAAATGATTGCTTTTACATCCTATATGGGTGTAAAAGCAATCACTGTAAAAAAAAAAAAAAAAAATCTTCATCACCCCCATAAGTAGTACAGTGTCACCATGGTGACACTGTACTGCTAGGGTGACAGTATAAGTATAAAAAATAAAATAAAAATGTAAAAAAAAGTTAAAAAATTATAATTTTTGGTTATAAACTAATTTGGCTTATTTTTATTTTTTTTACTAAAAAGATAACGGAATAAATTTCGGCCAAGATTTATAATGAAAGATTATTTATTTGCAAAATTTTATAAGAAAAACACTTTTTTTTCAAAATTTTGGGAATTTTTCATTTACGTAGCAAAAAAAAATAAAAATCCCAGCGGTGAATAAATACCACCAAAATAAAGCTTTATCTGTCTCAAAAAAATGGTAAACAATTCATATGGGTACAGTATTGCATGACCGCGCAATTGTCATTCAAAGTGTAATAGCGATGAAAGCTGAAAATTGCCCTGGACAGGAAGGGGGGAAAGTGTCCGGACAGGAAGTGGTTAAAACTAGGCATCTGCTTAGATAAAAACAAAAGTGAACAGGATATCATATGAATGGCATCCAGCACCCCGGCGGACATCACCGTTGTAGCTTTCTTTTACTGCACCATGAGAGCTCTTCTTCGTGTCTATTTGCACTTTATTTGGACTTTTGGTATATCACTTTATTTCGTTTTGTTTGTTTGGACGTCATAAATGCACTTGATTTTTATGTTTTTTGACTATGAATTTTATGTTTTTTATGATATGATTCGTTATGCACAGGTATGGATTATGCACAGGTATGGATTATGCACAGGTATGGATTATGCACAGGTATGGATTATGCACAGGTATGAGTCAAGATATGGCAGTGCAACACATTTTATTTTAAATAATTACATTAGTAGACTTTTGAAAGATTAGATTGCATTAAATATTGAATAAAGCAAGTACATTTCAGTATAAATGCATATAAGTTTTTAATTTAAAGCTACATTATAAAATGTGTAAAGAGTTTTCTTTTTTCTTGTTAATTAAAAATATTTTCTACATCTTTAAGATTTGTTAAAGCACATGACACCTGCACCAAAGAAGACTCCACCAGTGTCCTATGCAGCGCCTGACTGGTACACCTATGAGAATTTATCTCCCCCACCTGAACCAGCTACGTAAGTTCTCTTGACTTCTCTTTCCTTTGATTTGTATTGAAATTTTACAAGAAAGTTTTACAAGTCAGGGCTCATTTAGTCCTCATGCACACTGGACGTTTTTATAGCTGCTGTTTTTGGCTTTTGACTTTTTTTGTATATATACATAATTTAGCATTTCTGGGTAGGGGGCACGTGCTAGCACCCTACCTGCGCCACCATTCGCGTCCACAGCTGTCAATCACCGGGTCCCGGACGGTGATTACTCGCCGGCGCCCTGTGATTACCAAGGATCTCTGATGGGGAGGAGAACTGTTTTGTTTACTAACAGTTCTTCCTGTCAGCTCGGGCACACTGCTTTGGATGGCTGTGCACAGCACAGCCATCCAAAGCAGTGTACTTACAGTGAAGCACACAGACACCGCCCCATAGTAAAACACACCCAGCACACAGTTAACACTTTGATTGGCCCTTATGTTAACCCCTTCCTGCCCAGGGCCATTAGTACAGTGTCAGTGCTTTTCTTTCTGATCACTGTATTGGTGTCACTGGAGATTTCAGTGACACCAAGACAGTTGAAATGTGATTTTTTTTGTTTTTTTTTTTTTTACTGGACATGTTTAATAGCAAAAAGTCAAAAATATAGTTTTTTTTCTAAATTTTTTTTTGTTGCGCAAAAAATAAAAAACTGCACAGGCAATCAAATGCCACCAAAAGAAAGCTCAATTTGTGGGAAAAAAGGGACATCAATTTCATGTGGGTACAGCATTGCATGACCGCGCAATTGTCAGTTAAATTAAGGCAGCGCTGTAACGCAAAAAATGGCCTGGTCAGGAAGGGGGTAAATCCTCTGGAGGACAAGTGGTTAGAATTCTATCTGTAGTTGATAAACAAAAACAGTTTTTTCCATCATTTCTAATTGTGGTAAGTGCATGTTAGCATATGCATAACTGCCACTATTAGTTCTCAATTTCAGCAAAACCACAATGAAACAACGGCAGATTGTACAAACACAGCTGACAGTTTGACACTTACTCTTGCTCAAAGCAGGCTCAGACTGGAACAAAAAATAGACCTGGGCATTTTAGACTGAACAGCCAATTTCTGGGGGGGGGGGTACAAGGGCATTTGCGGTAGCAGTTGGTGACGGAATATTCATGGAGTCAGTCCTCCGCACTGTAATACTGTATAAAGGGGGACTGCACTGTAAAGAGTTTGATTACAGTGCCCCTTTACAGCGCAATCCCCTTTATATTTCAGTGCCCCTAGAAATCTAATCACAGCACCGCCTATATATTCAAAGAGATGGCCCAATCCAGCAAAAAGACATCCCCATCCAACAAAGAAACATAAGAGACATCCCCATCCAGCAAAGAGACATCCTAATCCACAAAGAGATGGGATATCTCTTTGCTGGACAGGAATGTCTCTTTGCTGGGTGGGGATGTCCCGTCTTAGACTGGGCTGTCTCTTTGCTGGATTGGGATGTCTCTTTGCAGGACCCAACTGAGCAAAAAGACATCCCTGTCCAGCAAAGAGACATCCCCGTCCAGCAAAGAGACATCCCCGTCCAGCAAGGAGACAGCCCGTCCAGCAAAGAGACAGCCCGTCAAGCAAAGAGACAGCCCGTGCAGCAAAGTGAAGGCGAGAGGCTGCCGTTGTCCCTTCAGTGCAACTGTGTGCAGAGGCCGGCCAAGGAGGTGTCTGTTTGTCCTCAGCAGCTGCTTTCTGCTCTTCACTGGAGCCGTCACTGCCACTGTTCCTGTTGGCCCTGCTTTAGGCATAGCCACACAGTGGGAGGTGAGCGGCGGCCATGGTCTGTGTTCACTTTGTCCAGGCCATGGTCGCCGCTTACCTCCTGCTGTGCGGCCGGTCATCAACACGCCGCTGTTCTAAAGCCCGGCAGCCCCAGCCCACCAGGCAAATGCCCGGTGTGCCCTGTGGCCAGTCTGGGCCTGGCTCAAAGTATATATTTCCAACTTGTTCAGGGAAAAATAAAACATATGCATTACATATGTTTTCTTCTAAACCAGGGTGTATTACCTGAGACCTCATGCAGGTGTGCTCAGTGAGCTTTTTTATGCATGTAAATTTTTGTATAATAATTGTATTAAAATAATGACTCCGTACAGATGAACAGTTAAGAATTAGTATAACTCCATCAAGCCTTGTAAAAATGAGCTCATCTTTACGTTGCTATTCTATTCATTTGTATTACTTTTTAGACTAAGCGCCCCCACAATTGCACACATGTAAAGTCACTGATATAGAAGCTAATTTAGAGGTATTTAGACACCTGTGTCTGTATTATTAAAGTAGGCCTGGATCCAAAAAGTGATGATTTCCTGGGTTATAGGCAGGGCTATTTGTTTCTCCGAAAATAAGTACAAGAACTCAACCATGACCCCCCCCCCAAAAAAAAAAAAAAAAAACCCCTCCCCCACACACAAACCCTTCAAACTGCATCAAACAGTGGTTGTGGTCAAATTTTACTAACAGTGGGAGGGTCTTGAATGGGCATTAAATACCAGGAGTGCATTATGTACTAAGTGCAGAGTTTGGGGGGAAGAATTACACACAGAGTGCAGAGTTCAGGGGTTCCCTACATGCAGAGTTTTTGGGGGTGCACTATGTGCAGAGTTCAGGTGTGCATTACACACAGAGTGTAGAGTTCAGTTTTCTTCCACAGCTGCTTACCCTCCTTAAAAGCTCCACCATCTTCCACGTTTTACTTTTGTTGCTGTATTAAGCTGAAGCACCCAGCCGTCCCTAATACCTCCCCACACACAGTAGGTGGCTTTGTCTCTCTCGCTTGCAAGGAGATCATTCAGGAGGGGTATTGGCACCCGCACCCCTGGCACCTTCATCTTCCTTGCCCCCATCCTGCATTCAGTGGGAGCTGTTCAGGAGATCAGATCTGTGGGAGCTGTTGGACACAAGCACCCACTTCTAAACACAGAATCAGAGGCGGACTGACCATTTGGAAACTCAGGCACTGTCGAGGGCCCGGAGTCAGTAGAGGGCCCCATGAGATGCCCCTGGTACTTTTCATAGGCTTTTTTGGGTGTGGTTTGAGTGTGAGTTAGGACACAGGGGCCCCATGATCCCCTATTGCCCGGGGGCCCTATGAGTTGTCAGTCCGCCCCTGCACAAAAGTCGGACCTTCTGTGTTTACAAGCCATAGTGGTTAGCAAGGAGCAGAAGGCCTGAGCCAGAGGTGGTGGAACTGAGTTCCACCAAGTTCCAGCTGAAAAAAAGCCCTGGTTAAAAGGAAACATTTAGAAATGTTAACTGTGCTGAGGAAGTACTCTGAAAAATGACTTTATGTTTAGATTTCATCCTGAAAGTTCCTGATTTGTGAGGGTGCCTATTTATACCTAAAGCTTCAAATCCATATATCTGCCATCTGAGATCTAAGGCACTGTGCCCCTGACTGCTAGGAAATTTTGTGTTGTTACTGTGTTGTTCATTGTTTTCCTTGGAAACATAAGGAAATAAAGGACTGTCTTTACCAAGATGACCGCCTCCAAACACAGACACAGTGCAGAACACAAGCCATGATAGATCAGTAATGGGGAGAAGATCAGCTCCATAGGAATAACTGGTGACTAATCCTATGCCTATTGCCTGTCTTCTTTTTGGCAAAGCTCCTCTTCAAAAGAAACCTGTGCAGAGAATATATGTAGGCTGACATTGCTGAACTCTCCGTTTGAAAATTAAGATTTTGGGGGTTTTTTTGCCTGTTAAGCTGATCTAGATTTGCCTTTTAACATGTTATAGATTTCAGAACTCAAGGAACCTCTCCTAATCATTACTCTTAGTCTATCATGGTATATTGAGTGAACAGTAAGCTATGATATCGGAATACAGTAAATAAAAGAATAAGGTGGTGAACCTAATGTATTTGAAACTTTAGCCTGCTCTATAGATTATTCAGCAATGAAAACAAATGGAAACGTATATTGTTAATAATAACAATAGCCAGAAAAAAATGCAGGCGGTGAAAAAAATTGATGGCCAGTAGAGAAATGCCCACTTATTCTTATAGTTGATGGAAAGTGCCCTCTTAAAACGCTGGTCTGTGAAGTGGCATCTTGCATTAGAGAAGGGTCCTCCTAAGCTGGCCATACACAATAGACTTGAAAGAATGTTAGTACACAAAAATATGAAAGTATGAAAATTCTCATCAATACATTCGATGATGTGACGAAGGCCGTTTGAAAGTACTTTTGCTGTTAACATTCAATTTTTGAGTGATGTACAGAAGAAACCACAATCACTGTTAGAAATTTGATGTTCAAGAAACATTTTCCATCCACTTCCTTCACATTTTCTTGTCAGTGCGGTTAAAAACAAACATTAATTTGGCTCCAATGATGATTAGAAAATTGAACAAATTTTCTTAAAACAAAAATTTTCAGACAAAATTCTACTAGTTTATGGCCAACATTTGTTTGGTGATGGGTGGAGGATTCCTGTACATCAATGGTCTTTTGGTGGTAATTTGAATGAATGCTCCTTACATTGTAGGCAAGTGGGAGGAATACCCTCCGTACAGACAGCTAGAAAGATCCTTGGTGTCAATGGTTACTTATCTGAGAGTCATAAATTGCTCAATAAACTCCTAGCAATCTCTGAAGGAACCCTGTGTGAGAAAGGCTGATCTAAATGCTTGATTACTGTCTGAATCACTGATCTACAATAACAAATGTTTTTAAGAAACATTTTGCAGGGCACTACATGTATGTTCATTCTGTGCGAATGCCAGCAAAATTGAATATTACCGGGCTATTTTCACTCCATGGTGGATGTTCTTCATTCATATAAATAGTGTAAATTGGAAAACTACTGCATTATGGTCACTAGATGGAGATGAAGATTGATTTCCTATAATCATCTAGTTCCATTTAGGGGTCATAATGCAGTCTTCGATGATTCAAGCTATTTTTATTACCTAAGAACGCCCTGGAGAGAAAATAGCAGGGCAATGTTTGTTTTTGCTGGAATTTGCACAGAAGAAA